GCGGCCGCGCTATGCCATTGGTGATCTGCACCTGCTGAATAAGCTGTCCCGTATCAATAGAGCGCTCTTTAGCTGTGGTCACAACCGCTGCCGCCGACGATTAGCGACGCTTGACAGTCACATCGTTCCCATGACAACGACAGCCTGTTGAAGCAAGGCCTAGAGTGAAGCATCTTTTTTTGACCAATGCAAACGAGAGCAGGCGGACAAGCGAAAAGCTCTTCTTGTTGACCATCCTCGCCGCCGTCATTTTCAGCCCAGGAAATTCGTCCTAGCTCTAGTGGAATTGGGCTCCGGGTAACTTTCCAGCGATGCTCCCTTGCGCTCGCAATTGCTCGACGTATTACATCTCACTGAAGCAGTCCAGCAGTTAATGTTTAGCTCGACTAGCCAAGCGGATCTTATTTTTCTTTTTATTTCGGTTGCATTATCTACAGCTAATGGTGACTGATCGTTGCCGCTACTACTAAGGTCGTCGAAATTACTGCCTCACATAGCAGCATTGGTCTACTATGGCTACCGACGTCGCAAGGACTTGAATCTTTGATCTTTGGTAAGATTTACTACTCGTTGATTGTTTTGATTTCCAGCAGACCGCAAGAGTACGTCCTAGAGCTCTGGATCTTTTCGTATGTGTCGTAATCCACATAAGCATTTCTCTATCTACCGGCCCTTCTTGAGTTGTTATGATATGAGCCTTCGTCAGTCTGCGCTGATCTACGGGTGCAATTCCTCGTTTGTCGCCCGCACCGCGCCGCAGGGCTTCAGACGCCATTGAGAGATTTACGGTAGTAAAACTACAACGCCAAACCGTTATGTCTCTGTGCTATCCAGGAGGTTTGTGATGGGCGTGAGTTTACACTAGCTTAAGGCTATTATATCTATCTGTCCATAGGACAAAACATGCTATTTCCTTAGGGGCAGTTCTCTAGCGCTATAGTTTTTCAAGTGGGCAACAAAGAGTGCTTCAGCTGGCTAGGCAAAAGAATGAATAAATATAGGTAGCCAATCTGAACTATAAATCAGTCAAAGTGGGCTTCTAACGATATAATACTTATCGCGATAGAAAGTTCTTTTCCCAAGCGTTCGTCTACCTCGGGAAGCTTAAAACCGGACAAGATGTGCTGTTACCATTTCTATCGGGCTTTAATCGGGCACGTATTGTATATGTTACATGTACTAAGAATTACTTGATTTTAATTATTACTATTGTTATAGTGATGTGCTATGATAATGACGCCATATCTATTGAACAGATCTATATATATATATATATATATACACATATCAAACGACGTGAAGATCTTGTATCCAGTCGGTAAGATCTTGTATCCAGTCGGTACTACTATCCAGCGTGTAACATTTAGCGTGCGCATTACTTCTTTGTGACCAACACTGAATCTCCATTTCTAGGGTTAGCAAAAGAGTGATCAGCTGTCGCCTACCATGAATTCCACGCTTAAACTAACCAGCATTAATAACGCTGGTCATATTTGAAAACAAAATACAAGTATACGTCATATGTTAGATGTTATTAATTAGCGCATGCTTAGCTAAAACACAGAAGAGCGAAGAAGATATGTTACATTCTAGCATTTTAACATCGGAACCAACTTGCGCCACTGTAGCATTCAGCTATGGCAATACGCCCACACTTTGTTCCGAACGTTGTTCCAGAAAAACAGGGTCAAAAAGCAAAAACGGTCTCAGAATCGTGCTCCAGTTGTACCGATGAATCCCTGTGATTAACACAAAGTAACAACACTAGAAATTCAGGCAACTGGGACTAAATGAAGACGTCATCACGGGAGGGCAAACAAATAACTGGGGCTGAAGTGTGTCGCCGGAACGTTATACGAGCGGGTCACGCGACCTAGTCCTAACCACATCACTGACTTGTCGCCGTATGCGTGTTTATAAACATCCAACAAGTTTGACAAACGACTTCCAGTTCGCTTGCTTTGACGATGCACCTGTGCTGCTAACTCTGATCAGATCCGACGTATCATTCAATGCTTTAAATACTGAATTACTATTGTGGCAGCAGCGTAGTTTTCTGCCTGATCTTCGATTTTTAAGTGTATTCGTTAACGAACTGATAGTGGTTAGTCGGCGTCGTCTGCTAGAGCCAGTGGAACGAGTCTAAGGGCCTCAGCAGCCTGATTCTCAGCTGTTACCTGCACATATCTAGTCGGGATGATATGGGTGGCGCTCAAATAGCAACATCCATTCAATCGCACTAAATAATAGTCATTCTACAATGGAGCGATACGAATAGTCGAGATTGTGCACCAAGAGAAGACCACATATAAGGCCTAACTGGAAACCACTGTGTATTCTTAAGAGCACCACTAGGTACATATTATGCTACTCGATATTGTACGCAGCTAAAATCGTATTTCGAACATCTGAACCAACTTTTAAACTGCTCATAAAAATGATCAGTACAAATGTATGATATACGGGTCGAACAAACGACCGGACCCATACGCACACATTAGCTACGTCAGAAATATGTATTACGCCCAGCCTGATAGTTTCATTGCTTTAGTGTTTAGCTTCGCACGGTTCTCTTGCCGCTGCTTCCTTAGCAAACACCGGGCGTCACACGTTACTAATCAATCATCGACGGGAGCCTCATTTTTCCGGTTTCGTAGTTCTGAGTAGGAACGACGTCAGCGGAAGCCAGCACAAGAAACGCGTGCCGAAATGGAATCGAACATATTACACATTCTGTAGACGCTCTTATCTTCGGACGCTGTCCTGCCTGTATTCTAGCGCCGTTCAGCGAATAGCGACGTACAGTCAAGTTACAGTTGCTTAGGTAATGCCTAAGCCAATATGAAGCGTTTCCGCGCATACTCCGTACATGTGGAAATGGACTGGCTGAAAATGTGGATATTTCCATATACGTCCTAGTTCCTCTTCGCGTGGCTCAACGAACAATCATTCCATGAACTCAGAGTCGTCTTCTGTCTGCTCAGATATTCGGGAGCGCTTCGTTGCGTATCACTTTGTCAGCGAAATCCATGTTCACCATTCATTCGTTAGTGCGAGATCCCTAAGTGTGCCTTCTATACTGGATGTTTATTCTAATATGTACCCTTGACGACAGCGTGGGTGCTATTCAGCTTATAGTCCGCTGCGATAATCGATTAAAGTTAGACACCGGAAAAATGACCGCATCAATTATCCTCATACAATAGCATGTTCATGTAGACAAACAACTATCTTTTTCTAGTAGCCAGAATTCAACGGACTGCACAACCAAACACATCTAAATTTCCTTCCCTATATGCGATGCCCTCTAGATCGAAGAGGAAAACGGCGTCAGTCAAGAAAAGAAGCCCCTAGGTAACTTCCTGTTGCTGCGAGTGAAACGTTGAGCGGACGGCAGCACAGCATGCAGTTGTCATACAAATAACGTAACGGATACTTCATACAATTATAGTAATAGTTGTTTACTATGGTGCAATATGTCGATCATCGCCCACGTTAGCGTCATATGATGCAACGCTACTCGAAGAAGAAGATCGAAACGTGGCGCTGTAAGACGTATTTTGTCGCTTCGGTTGCTGACGTTGGGCTGAGTGAAAAAGATTCCGCTGATGATACAGGTGGTCACCGTCATCAAATAGCACCAGTGTCCACACAAGTGGCTTCGACGGGACTGGGATCATTTGATTCGAGCGCACCTGACAATACCTGCGACACTGCGTGTCCAACGTTTACAATTCTAATTCTCGCCCTGTGTTCATCGACCGACCTCGATTCGACCTGCTTTAGCGTTCGCCGTAAGCCGTCCAATAATAATAACAACTAATAGGACGGTAATAAAAATCGAATTTCGGCCTTGTAAAGTGATGACGAAGCAGCGAAACACGATACTGACGCCAGACGAAACGGTAAAATTTCCAATAGGGAAAAAAAAATAAGCCGTAAAGTTTATAGTCGGCCCTAGCGACGGTATGGGGTGTCAGTGCTGGATGTATTATTCGTAGAGCCATTAAAAAAAGTTATGAATGATTATAATACGCTGTTAGGGTTATTTGCTAGTGGTAGCTTACTGATGTTCTCACGATACGACGCCTGTTTATTCGAAATACTAACTCGTATGGGGGTATCATATCGTTATGGGGGTACAGTATGCAACACGATAGATGTTCTATTATGGACGATAGTGATCGTTACGTGGTGACTTCACTCTATTTCTTCATTCTTCGGCGTCTTTAGACTGATAGTGCCAACTTGCTAGTGAGGAGCATGGTACATTGGCGATCAGAATTGTATTTGGCTGTTGTCGTGACAAAACATTTAATTATCTAAACATCGTAGCCATTCTATTAATATTCAAGCTGTTCACCGTGTTTTACAGGATGAGGCGTCTTTACAGCTGTTATTAAATTCTTCATCTGGCGAAACCTGTGGTACCTGGGCCCGTTTCATTTGCCTAGCCAACATCTATTTTACGATTATTTAGTAGATTTCGTTATTTCTGTTGATTATGTAACAGTTAGCGAGCGTATAGCGAACAAAAATGTCCAGCAGCGAAACGACAAGTTCTTATGAGATTGAGCCTGAACTGAAGCCTATATAGGCTGTTGAACAAGCTACGTAGCTTTATATGCTGTTATTAGAAGATCGCGGAGAGTGTTTCTGTCATATTATCAAATCTTTATTCACTTTAGCCTAAATAAAACACCACATACGAGAGTGTATGTATATATAACGTTGGGCATTCCTATTGTGACAAACGGCCACCTATAAGTGTGATCTAGGCCAAGCCTCTATCAACTATTCATCATTACTAGGCAGGCGTTGTGATTGCGGCATGTTCTTGTATCAGATTTTGTGTGTTGCATGAGGCTATTATATGTGAACGTTTATATAAATGAGCTGAAACTAATAAGTTTTATGATCGAGTAGGTTTGGACGTTTGCCAAATTTGTGCACCATTTTGACTTGCTATCGCGCACGCTTATATAAAAAAAAAAACTCACCTATATTCAAGAGACATCTCTGACGAAACGCAGATTACTATTGGCGTATTGTAATAAACATCAAAATACTGATATCGCCAATCCATAATGGGGCTTCACGCAAAAGTTGAATCATGTCCTATCAGCGTTGGTGCCTCTCTGCCTCGCTATTGACGCCACCTACGTTTGTTTAACTGTTTCCTCAGGATGAACTTACTGAAAAGTATATTTTTTCTGTCACCATAAACCAGTAGAATAATATGTAGTGCAAAAAGAAGTCATTCATTAGTTGTGTTCCCTTCATTATATTGCGCTACTCGGCTTTGTAAGTTCATACGCTTATTCCAGATATTTTTCATCCGTCACACGACGACCACGGCCGACGGAGTCCGCACATTCGTTCCGATAAGAAAACTTATTGTTTGCGCATCTGTGTTACGTTTCTAAGATAATGCTCCTTTTTTAGCTGCCGTTCGTGGTGATACTCAAGGTGATTCAAAGTGTCCTTTTGCCAAAATTTGCAAGTTTTACCTCCAAGTTCCTAAAAGCTAAAAAGTTCTTATAAACACATAGGCAAATACAACTTTTTTAATAATAAACAACATAAAAACCTCATCATTTAGGAAAAAAAAAAGACTGATTAACTGACAGAATTCTCTAACGACGTGTTTGATAAATTAAACGATTTTAAAGAACAGCTCAATGTTACAATGGAACACTCGACTACTTACAATTTAGAAGTGATATTATGTACTATAATAACTAATAGGCATATGTGACGAGTTCCAGAACAATACTTATTACAAAATAGAACTAGTTCTGCGCATTAATTATCTATTTTTTCATCCTCCATTAATCTGGACCGCAATTACCGTAGTAAAATCTCTCATCAGTGCATAAGTATCTGTCTGTGCTGATTTGATGCTAGCAGCTACGTTGACCCTGTAGGGTATAAGTAATGACTGAGACTCCAAAGTACTCCTAAAAATAATCCGGCTGTGTTGACTTTCGCAAAAAACAACCCACCGTTCATTGAACCAAATACGTCCACCATGGTTTTAGCCTGCTACTTCCTTCCGAGACAAACACTTGCCGAAAAAATAAGTAGACCGTGATTTAACGGCATTTGTGGCTTCTCGCAGCATCAATTGTCCTGGCTATGGGCTGCCAGTAACAAATAGTGCAGAACGCAAATTGCCTGAAAAGCGCTCGACGCCGTCTCGAAATCGCTACAAAACGCACTTAAATGTAGATTAGTATATGCTGTTGGTAACGCCCCCCTGTCTGTTCGTTGAGAGTGAAACCCCTTGTCGATCCACATATATCTATTCAATACCAACCGATGGTGGCCTTATTTTACCGTAGGCATCTTGATTCTATTCTCGTGGGCGCTTCGCTAGAGCAAATTGATCATAGCTCAATATGTATGATTACTGTGATAATGGTACTAGGGTAAGTCATGCTAGACGTGGCACAGTAGCGATATAAACCTGATTACCAAAATTACCATTCTCCTATAATAATAACTTATTATTAATATTTATTTGTAACTACTGTTTTCAATAATGATACGGTGGTGAACCGCTGCCATCCTAGGCACCTGACCATTATCCGAACGACTATAGTATAAACTGACATTGAGTTAGTTAACAGGAACAACGGAACTGCTTGACACGCGACGTTTCACTGATGCTATCACTGTGTCAACCAGCCGTCACATTTTGTTATATATGTTTGTCGTCACAAATTGTAATAAACTCTTCCGAAAGTGCCATCAAGACGACGGCGTCGAGCAGAACGTATCAAGTGGGCTGAGCCACTGTCCACTGGAACAAACCCAACGCCGCGCCCCTCAGCGGAACGTTGGCTGGCATTCGTTCGACGTAGGGATGGCATGGTATGCGTTCGACCCTCCCAAGCAGTCACTAAACGGACGATATGACAGAGGCCGCTCTACGGGGGACTAAGGCGTGTTAAATACCGGCGATATGTTGCCACTGGTATTGTCGCCTGGAACTCGTCCTGTTTTGAGCTTATAGACAAAGTCGACGGAGCAAACACCCTCTTTGTGCTGCTAAGCCTGCCAATAGGTAAATCGTAGAGCAGCAGACGCTATACTCGTTGCCACTTGGTATATTGGTTATTCTTTCGATTGTGACGCGAATTAGAAAGAAATCAAATACGAGAAAACGTAGCTAGAAGTGGAGACTGAGACGAAAACGTTCCGAATTTTACGTCCGGTGGAACTGGAGACGGCTGGTCGCTCCTTTGTCTCTGTCTAGATCACTTCTGTATGTCTTCGGTTGGCAGGCAAACACGCTAGCAAAATGTTTCTTCGGGCACAGAAACACTGGAAAAAAATTGATACAAATCTTTTTGACTTGGGGATCGTCTGCGAAAAAAAAATAGCGATATGTTTCAAATTCAATTTTTGACCCGATCACAGAAACATAAACGGTCACTGTTGTACAGCAAGGCGTACATGGCGCATCTTTCTCTTTCTCGTATACGCTCGCATAGAAAACGCTGGTCAGCTGTTCCCGCATAATAAATTTAGACGCATTAGCACGGCAATGGGCACTAGACGTAGTTACACTGATCGCGATAAACTTCCAAAGAAACTTTCCGTTTTTAACGTTTTACCATCCTTGGTGAAGAAGGGATTTGTTTTTTTTCTAAAGCAAAAAGCTACTGCCGACTAGGTCGCGCGCTTAGTCCCTGTTGAGAACCTATCTATTAACGCTTTGTTGGCTCAACTGTTACGTCGCCATCTTAGACACGGGAGGGTAAATTGTTAATTTAAGGTCACTACAGATGCAGCTCGTTCAAGGCTGTACAAATGTAATCATTATGACACACTTGTTCGTCAACAGCCTTGTTTGGTATTTTCCGTTAGCGGTAAGGTTGCTACGTTAGAATTTACCAATCAGACGAGCTTATGAATATACACTTCTCAGCTCATTAGTTATAATTCAAGTTTATGATATATAAAGGCAGGGATAATTTTAAACGTCCTTCTTGTGCCTAGCTTAGTTTGTTGAATCTTTTCTAGGTCATTCATTTTTCAATGGACCTGCAAACTATGCCATAAAGCAGAAGGTGCTATAGGACGTGAATGTTCATAGCAATGTATATCTGCAAGTTGGAAAAATAGCGCTGTACGTAACACTGATAGTAGGCCCGCATCCGAAAATATAATAAGATTCAGCTGTATATATAATACATATATACTAAAATACGTACTGGTTGGGAATAAAGAGACATATGCGTAGAATCGATTTAGGCTGCTAAATCGCCTGTGAATAGAAACTTCCTTTTTGCGAATAAAAATAGAAAAAACGCAAGGAAAACACAAGTCTTGGGGTTAGGTCTTTAGAATTGTTGATAAAACAAACCGTATTTAAGAAACACTGCCTATCATTTCACAGAGCGTATGAAGAGACAAGTCTGAATCCGATTTTTCGTCAATCGGCAGCGCCGGCCTTACCTGAGAACGAAAAAAAAACAAAAAAAAAAGAAATTAATTAAAGTTTTCTTGACAAAAAGCATTTTTTTGATACATTAAAGATATGTATCTAATCCTAAGCAGCACGAATATATGACAAGGCGTTGGCTGCAATACCAGCCTATGTATCATTCTGCAACTGAGCTGGTGAACGGAGGATGGGTATTCTGTTCCATTGGGTGCGAGTTGCTAGCTATTTTTGATTGTTTTCAATAGTCGAATACTGCTGAATGCGCTCCGGGTCGCTCTGTTTAGTCGCTTAGGTCCGGTCGCTGTTAATTCATTCTCTCAATCAAAAACAAGGACAAACTAGTTGTTCGTTCGGACCTACTCTGCTGTTTCCGGCCTTCGTTTTTCGCAAGGACAATCGATTGTACAGGACGAACACTAAAGGGCTAAACGTGAACTGCGGTTCATTGTCTTACTCAGGCCAAAGTCCCCTCTCATACAGGCTAACGGGAAGTTGAATTTCCCTGTGACGATCACAACACTATAAAATACCAGCCACAATAATCTACTGATATCTTATTTTTTGCCGATTTGATCTGATGCTACCATTGTCAATAATTATGCAGCTTTCTAGTTACCTAGAAGAGGCAGTACTTCAGTTGGGAACCCTGCTATCCTTCGCTCGTATTCATTCTGCCATTAAGTAACTGAAGGCCAGACGACAATGTGGCCTTACTTGACATGCAACAAAAAAAGCATATTTCGTGTTAACATTTTTCGACACATTGTGGGACCTGCTGGCTACAGGACCGATCAACCCGACATTCACTTAATAGCTTACGAGATATAAGAAAAGAAAATTGATAGATATTAAGCCCACTCTTGAATCTAGCTGCGTATGTGTACCATAAGGAAACACAGGCTTCTATGTTTAGATCATTAAACATCAAAGTTGCAACTGGAATAGGCAAATTTTCTCAAAACTTTATTTCTTAGCCAAATCGTACCTGGATAACGTTTGTCCTATTTTGAACTTCGAAAAGCTAACAGGCGAGAGTACTGAACAGAATATTTGCCGATCCAAGCCGACTTATTTTCTCACACTGGAGGGCGTCCTCCACATTTACACCGTATACATTTTTTTTAATCGAAACGGCGCGTAAGCACGGCATCATCCATCAAAGACCGCGTCTCTGTGCAACGTAAACGTAAAGATGACTCACTAAGCAGACGTTCCGTCTGGCTAATACCAGTCTGTGTTTCTACATGGTCAGCTGTGCGCGCGTAATCATTGCTTCATACAGCCGCGTATCCATCCAGCTAGCGCAGACAAATCTTTCATATTAACGCTTTGTAGCGTCAAATCGATTGGAGATCAAGCAGACGAAAACTTTCAAACAATAACAGCATATCCGCAGCGAGACTCTGCAGACAGCCATCAAGATTGTAACCGAAAGATTATCGTTTCGTATAGGTCACTTTGGTCGGGTAACTGAGGCAGGATAGAAACGTTTCCTCTAAGCAATGTTAAATGATAAATTAACTAGTTATCGGCTTGGTAAGCTCCTGTAACGGACATACAGTCTATCATAGATTATGTAGAACAATGTTCAAACAGACAGCTGAGATCAATCCCCACGGCTTGAAAGGCGTGGGCAAGAAAGCTGTTCCGCCGACGAGCTATTCAAACGTTCATCGACGGAGGAATCCGTTTGCGACAAACCCGCCAGTCTCGTTCTTAATGGTGATAGATATATAGCAGGAAATCTAAACTAACGTATAACATAACAGCAATAACAAAAGTAACCAAGCACCAAATTACTCCATTAAACTCGTTCAGCGTATCGATTCTATCCCTAAATGTAGTTATCGATGCAGGAATATAGGGGAACGATATACGACGCCGTTCATGTTGTTCACCTCCGACAGACTTCAGGTCACCTTCAGACAGAAATATCCACCGGATAATTCACCTACTCTACTACACGGTAGGACGTTCTTGGCTTTTGCAGTGCAATTCTGTCAAGCATATTTCTTGTTCAACGAACACGGTTCTTCTCCGATCTTGTTTCGACGGCCAAACGGACTCGGTCTCTGATCTGGCTAAGAAAGCATACGTACTGAGCTTTTGTTCCATATACGTTCGTGTACATTACCGCCGTACGATGTCCGGAGCGACATACCCTTCCTTCGGTCAATTTCGATTACTGCACATTTCCGTCACCGTCACTTACCGAATGTCAAAGTTCGAACGAATATAGACAGTTGGTACTGTTTTGTATAATAACATCTTGATAACGGTACGCCATATCAATATCGTATCCATTGTTAGGGGAGGTTGCTTGCCGATATCGAAATGACAAATGCCGCTACTCTAGCAATGCCCCTCAGGGATGGATCACTTCCAGTGTTACGCTTGAACTAAATTAACAGCAGCACTGTTAGAATAGTAATAATTACTTGATAACCCACATTTAAGAAAGCTGAACTATTGTATAATGTCAAACCTACGCATATGATGAATATGTTATACATGCTAGACTGCAAGGCATAAGCCTTAAAAATGCAGCGATGAAAATTAAATAACGATCGGCAAAATCGATAAAAACGATCAGCAAGATGCTCTTTAAAATGTCTAAAATCACATTTACTATAACGTTCGACCTCTACTAATATTATGATTATCAATTAAGTTCCGGCTTTGTATATTAATTATATAGGACAGGGCAGTAAACATCACATAGTAACAAAAAAATAACTCTAGTTACATTAAGTACAAAAAGCATATATCACCGAGGTGAAATTATTATCCGTCGATTGACAAGTACAGCCTATTTTGTGGACCTATAATTGATTCATTTAACACATGCTGATAGATTGCCGAAAAAGCCAATCCGTCTTCAGGAGTTGTGTCGGACTTTCGAAACTTCACGAGTGGCTCGGTGTAGATAGATCCTGCATATCGTAGATCCTAGCATCGAAGATTAGAAAAACAACGCCGCCCGACTCTTCGTCAGGCAACGAGAGTTTTCTTTAGAACGCCATTGTGCGATACTACATAGCTTTGCGTACGTGTCATCAATGAGTGAGATAGTCATGTTTAGGATTAGAGCGTGACGATGCTTTTGAACATACATGTTCAATGTATAAGACTTAAATTTGCATACGCTATGAGCCAGTAAAGATGGTAATGATGAATTGTGGTAGTTTGCCGAACATCTCAGTGTTTAAGTCCGAAGCATTCACGCAGACCCTAAGCTTAAGGCAACAATCTAAGTTAATCCCGATTGCGGACCTTTGACACGCGGTTTCCAAGTGAACGCGAAAAAAATCCCTTTAATAAAAGCAGTCACGTAATAGCTCATCAATGCTTTGCTGTTCGTTAATACGTGGCTGTACAAATATGATATCTCTAGCCGGCCTTGTGCTTTGGGCCATTCTTAGTAAATCTAACGAAATGAAGATATATATGGCTTTCATGATGTGTTGTTAGTTAATTATAAAGGTTTAAGTTTTTTTTATAAGTGTTTTATATTGCTTTGTATTGCGTTTTCAAATCCCACATTTTTCATGTTAGTGCATTTACTTAACGATAATACCTACTGGTAAATTTGCAGGTGTTGGGTCGATAAATACTATATGGGATAGAGAACAAAGACTACCTTAGCAAACAAGCAGTCACCCCTGGCTTATTCTCGCTTTCGAAGGTTACATCCCCTAACAATAATAGCAACGATTTTACAATCAACTTCAGCTCTATCGTATGCAACGAAATCACCACAGTATATGAAGCGCGAACAACTTCACTGATAAGGCCGCAGTCATGGCCGGCAATCGATGGGACATTTCTAAACACTGAAACTATACGTCCAGGAAGCTCCGTATTCCAGAACGCAACCACTAATACAACACTTTATGGATAATTTTAACATGCGAACATATCAACGACAGCTGTCCACGGAAAAATACAGCCTCGCGCTATTGTGCTGTCATGTGTCGGTTTGTATCCTACGCGGCCTTGGAAATGTTTGTCCTGTTCGAAAAAAAAAGCATAAGCATCCATACACAGATCTGCTCATGTGTACGTAACCGACATATTCACCCGCGTGAACTTGAATTGTGTTTGAGTAACGAAAATTATTACCCTTGTGCATGGAGATGTGTCGGGTGAAAGTACTCAGGGATCTATGACTAGCGCTGCTTCAACGATGTTCCCTGAGCTTTTAGAGCTTTGCATGTGACCTGTCAACGAAAATATCAGCACACAGCACACAATCCGGATGGCATTTCCAATCAGTCCTCTTATGCGATGCTTTACAAAGCTAACAACCACGAGCATATTACCGTATAGAATGTTCCAATGTGGATGCATAAATCCTTAAGGACAGCGAGGTTGCATATGGCCTACCGACCTATATTAGAAGGAGCGGATAGGCTGGAAAAAAGATAACAAGACATTGCTAGGGTTGAATTTTTAGATTGGCTATCACCACTCTGAAAGCTAAAACTCATTATCACGGGAAGATTTTGATTAGTGTGACAAAGTGACTGGCCACATTGACACGAAGGTCACGGAGAAAAACATATACGAGCCCTTGGCTTAACAGAACGAAAGATAGTCAGACCCATTGTTTAGGGGATTCTGAATTTCTTTCAATCAGCCCGTCCGTAGTTGATGATAGAAAGAGCAATGCTCGAAATTCGACAGAAAAACAATTTTCATTATATTCAATTGTTAACTATTGCAAATCAGCAATCATTTAGATAACTTGTAAAGAAGTGTTACTTTTATTTTTCTGAAGCTAATTTGATCAGATCGTGAATCTGGTCTCATTTAATAGCTATATTCTGTGTAATCCAATTGAGGTTGAATCATCGGTTCGTAAATCATTGGGCGTACTCCCTTCACACTACCGTTAGTAAACTCTATTTACCTAACGGTAAGGCTCACATTCAAAAAATAATAATGCACCTGTCGAATAACCACAAAACATAAGGCTTGTGGCCTAACAGAACATTCTTAGAACACAAACATTTTTAAACATGGCCGAAGTGCTGTCCGTCTGTAAATCAAGGCGACCGTCAAGAAGGTGCCGTTCCGCTTTAAGAAAGACGACCATTTTATCCGGTCTGCTACGAATTACCTTACAGACGAGCTCAATCAACAAACCGTAGCCAGAGCTAACATCACGTCTACTATTTTACGGAATGACGTTAGTCTGGTAGTATAATCAAAAATATACAACAGAATAACTGTGTTCCCCTGCATAAGTTCTCGATGGTTCGCTCGAATCCATCAATTTTTTGATCATTCATAAAGATCTATACGATCAACACATAAATGCTAGCACCAGCAGCATTTATGTGTTGATTGTACCTTAAACTTAAAGCAACAATGATTCGTTCGTAAATTCAATTGATGTACGCAGGCGACATCCCAAATATTGCAAGAACATCATTTAACCGGGACAAACTGGGGGAAACTAGGGGAAGATGCTTGCATCACAGGCTCGTCTGAGCCTCACTAATGAATAATGGCCTGATGTTATTAGTTCATGTACGAAGTGTATCGTTTATCGGATATCGCTGTGATAAACGAATGGTACGTATTTTGTATCGCTAAAGCGACGCGCTAGCTATGAAACGAGTTTCGGACGAGGACTTCGTACGCAAACCTTGCAGACGGGTTCCCATTAATGAGTTTGACTGTTGACATTTCAGGACCTGCCTCGGCCAAGGTGGCTAACGTGTTTCTGCCAGATTGTAACGCGACAGAGATTTATTTCAGCAGGACAAAGTGGTTAGAGGCCACTGGAAAGTCATCTTAATATTGGAATAAAATGCTTTTCTCTAGCGATCATTTTAGGTATACCTTTAATGATTAAGCCCGAGCTTTTCGCACTCGTAAAACTGCATCGACTTCAGTTGATAAGATTCTATTCGGGAAGTATACATATTCTTTTGTCATACTGACTAGCTGTTAGCCGTTGTGCTTCATTCGAAATGAAAACATCAGACTTCATTGTCATAACATACCGGACCTTGCGACCGTCGCAACGCGGAGGTATACCCCAAAAATGTCACCTTAATCTTATCCTACCAAATATCGTAGGCCATCTGCCTTTTTATTGCTGTATTTTTTGGCGAAAAAGAACACAGACTTAAGCCAGTGAATGCTGCGCCTTTCAAAAGCTGCCATGCTTTAAGCTCCAACGCTGTTTCAATGTAGATGTTTAGATATCAAACAGCTAGAAATATTTATCTTGGCCTAGATGGGCAAGTTTAAGCTCAGCTTCCTTAAGGCTTCGGTACTACCTATCCGTACATCCTTAGCGCTTAGTGGCTATCTCTCTACT